ACCTCCTTCCCCTCCTTCTTCACTGACCTCGGTGTCTGCAGAGCTGTCTCTTACATATTCTCACTCCTCTCTTCCGCTGCCGTTGGCACAGTTTGGTTTTTTTTTCCTCTTCTTAAATATGTTATCCCAGAGGCGCTACCACCATCACTGCCGGGCTCGGCCTTGGCCAGCGGCGGGTCCTTCTTGGAGCTGGCTGGCACTGGCTCTACTGGACATGGGGGAAGCTTCTAGCAGCTTCTCACAGAAGCCACCCCTGTAGCCCCCCCACTACCAAAACCTTGCCACACAAACACAATACATTCTACCCCTCACCTCTGTGAATCACATATTTAAGAATTATCATTAAAATCCACATTCATCACGATCTTCACTCACATCAACAAAAAGACATTCCCCACACCAAAATCAAAATAACATCATCACAACACCAAACGAAAGTGGACAATTTACACACACTCCAGCCCTTGTCCCTTTACCACAATTACAACAACAGAAATTCTCCACGATCATTCCACTTTTCGCTCTCCCGCTGTGTTCAGTCCATGTTACCATGTTTGCCTGTTACCTCTCCCAGTTACTATCCTTATCTCAAATTCTTCATGCCCCACACTGGGCACCAAAAAGGACTGTGGCGGGTTGACCTTGGCTGGACACCAGGTGCCACCAAACCGCTCTATCACTCCCCTCCTCAGCAGGACAGAGCCGGGGGGGAAATAAGATGGGGAAAAATAAAAAACCCAACAAAACTTGTGGGTCAAGATAAAGGCAGTTTAATAAAGCAAAAGCAAAGGCCATGCATGGAAGCAAAGGAAAACAAAAGATTTATTCTCTACATCCCATCAGCCGGCGACGTCCAGCCACTTCCCGGGAAGCAGGGCTTCAGTATGCGTAGTGATTGCTCCGGAAGACAAACGTCATAAATAACGAATGCCCCCACTTTCTCCTCCTTTCTCTTAGCTTTTATTGCTGAGCAGACATCATATAGTATGGAATATCCCTTTTGGTCAGTTTGGGTCAGCTGTCCTGGCTATCTCCCCTCCCAAGATCTTGCCCACCCCCAGCCTACTGGTGAGGGGGGGAAATGTTGGAGAGACAGCCTTGATGCTGTGCAAGCGCTGCTCAGCAGTAGCCAAAACACTGGTGTGTTACCAATGCCTTTCTAGCTACCAATACAAAGCACAGCACTATGAGGGCTGCCAGGGGGAAAATTAACTCCATCTCAGCCAGACCCAATACAAGCTGATCGATTGCTTTGTAAGAAATAAAACGTGGAGTTTAAACGAGGTGATGTGAAGTACCTGTAACTCCTGTCCATTTAGTGTTAGGATCTTGTTTTCATGCGAGTAGAAAGCTGGTCTCCCTGACAGTGGAACTTAATTTACAGGAATTAGGTACCTGATGAGCTCTTAATCATGCAATTTGCACAGATACCCAGTTTCTCTCAAGGTATTTAGGGGAAATTCCATCCAAAATTAAATAGCTGTCTATTGTTTTTCCTCCTCTAAGGAGGAGGAAATTTAAAGCTATTATCAGGAAGCTTAAATTCCTTATATATGAACCCTCCTCTTAACGAAAAAATGTTCAGGGGGCTCCAAAGCAAAAAAGTTGACAACACATGTATTAAATGTAGAAATTTATACATAATTAAATCAGCATAATTACTGCTATGTCAGAATTGGCAGTGTCAGAGGAAGGGGGTAGATTTGTACATGTTTTTTAAAGGTAAAAAATCTTGTGATTTCATTTCCCAATGGAGTCACTGGCAGTGAAACTGTGACCTTGTTAATAAGGATGATTTCATTTGTCACTAAAATGTAGCCATGTGTGGGTGAGGATTAGAGCATCAATTCAGTAATACACAGGGATGGAGGAAGTGGCATTGGAGGTTTCAGGGTGTCTCCTCAGGACTAGGCAGAGACTTTGGGCATTGGTCCTGGTTGATCAGGGAACAACGGGACTTCTCAAAGCAGAACGTGTGTGCTGCTTGTTCCCTCTGAATCTGCTCATGGCACTGGATGCTCAAGGCACTGCTGGGTGTGAAACTATAGCTCTATGATGTTTTGTTTTCAGACACTTTTCTCCTTCTCATTTCTACATGCTATTCTAGTTATACCAGTAGTTTTTTTCGCTGGGGACATCTCTTGCCTATGCAGACAATATAAACACCACACTTAATACCTGAACGGGTCAAAAATAGATGGCAGCTCTAATTGCTGATTTGTAGAAGTAATTCTTAAGTAGGCTTTTGTGTTCTGTTATGCACATATCACAAATTGAATATTAAGCACATATTTAGAAGTTTGTGTAGGTTTTTGCTGTCATTCAGACACTAGTGGGCAGTTTGGAAGTGCTCTGGGGAGTTTCTGGTGTTCAGTTGATCCCGGTTTTCCCAAGCACATCATGCTTGGTGAGCTTTTAAAACATCTGTGCAAATTTCCTGGGTGCTCAGGACTGAAAAATGCAATTAGGTACCTGTTACCACATGTAAATGAATACTTCATATCTGTTTAATATGGCCTGAGTGCTCAATCGTTTGTAAAACCAGGGATATTTAGATCTCACTGAAAGAGAGTTTTGCATTCCCATTAGGTGCTTGGGAATAGAAGAGAAGGTGCTGGGGGCTCAGAGAAAGTCCAGTACATAAAGTCAGTTACTAGTTGAATACTATGTTTGTATAAGTGGATCCCTTGAATTCTGCAGAGCTCTTTGAGCCCATGTAAGGCACAAATACTTGATTCATGTTCCCTGTTATGTAAAGACTGTAGGTTGCAGTATCAGGATGTGGGAATTTTTTCAGAATCAGGGCAGTAACCATCCATTTTGTTTTCACATAGAACGGTGATATTCATGGAATTGGTACTATTTCTACTGCCTGTATTATCTCCCTTTGCATCTTCTCAAAGTACTGTCTGTGTGTTATCAACAGTACCTGGTGCAGATGGAGAAATAGATGGGGTCAGCCCCAATCTGCAAGAATTTAATGTGCTAATTGCCCTATTATGAAAATCCTCTGGGGATACAAACAGTTGAGTTGACTCATACGAATAACATTGTTGGGTGGGCCTTTAAAAAGATTTAGCATTCAGGAGGCAAAGTGGGGTGCTAACCGTGACTGAATTAGACTTCTCCGTTCTTGCTGCACACAGTCAGAGGACAGCTTTGTCAGCAATGCCTAGGATAGGTCTTGCGGTCCTTATTGACCCATGAATGGAGGTTCATTCACACATCACGATTTTTTGAGCTGGGTCGGGATTTACAGCCCCACTGTGGCCAAACGCAGCACTACAGACTGCTTTGTTGGACTTCCCAAGTTGACTGGTGTTTTCCTCTGTTTTGAGACCTGGCACGTGTGATCCACTTGCATAACCAGAAGGGAGTGTTCTGGATATCTCGCACAGGCTCCATCATAAAACAGACCAAAGAGTGAGTCACAGGCTTGTCCTTGCTGTGGCTGTGATGGACAGATTGCAGTTTGTGCTCTGGCACCCAGCGCAGGAGCTGTGTTTCAGTATCCCTGAACAATCCTCGGTTTCTATCTCTTCCTCACCTTGCTGGCAGTATGTTTCCAATTGCTCAGCTTTTGCTATTTTCTCCTGCCCACGCTTCCTAAAAGTTTGGCTTTTGGACAAGAAGTTTGGTGAATTTATACTCAAGTAGAATGATGAAGGAAATGCACAGTAGGCGATAATGTGATTACTCAGATGAGAATTTGGCCAGAACGATGGTGTTAATGTTCCTTGAAATGTAAGTTATTTGAACAGCATAATCTCTTTTATGTTTGTATTTTAATGTTAATAAATGCAATTTCTAGGCTATTGGCTACAAAAATGCATTTGAAGACAGACAGCAGGTGATGCTGCAAGAGAAGGTGCTCACAGGTGCCCATAGGTCAGAATTTGCACCCGGTTAAATTGACTGCAGAACTCTCCTTACTGTGGGTTGTGAAGGGCTGAGTTGTGGTGATGAAGTGCTGTGCTTTACAAGTTGGGTCCGTAGGACTTTTGCTGAACAGCAAGGTTCTTGCTGTTTGTGAGCATCTGCCGGTCTGCTGCTGTCATTGTTAGAGTTTTAGCTAACGGGAGTATATGCTACCGTGTGTTCAGTAACTAACAGTTGATTTTGGTGGGGCTTTCAGGTGGACTTAGTCGACTGGGTGGATAATATGTGGCCACAGCATTTGAAGGAGAGACAGACGGATGCTACCAATGCTATTTCAGAGATGAAATACCCCAAAGTGAAAAAGTAAGTTTGTTTAAGTCTTTAAAAAGCTCTACTCTTGACCTCTTTGATTAATTCCTTTTGAACTCCAAAGCTGGTAGGAGGGGAAATAAGGATTTATTTATTTTTCAGTGAGCAGGGAGGGGTGTTGGTGTGGCTGACCTGCTTGAGCTGTGTAATACCTACTGATGGACTGTACTAGCTTTTAAGGAGAACAATTTTGTATTTGAGAGCTTTATGGATACTTCATGTTCTTAAAGCCTGTGGTTACAGTCTTTGAGAGGAATATTCTGTTCTAAATATTAATATTTAGATGTTTTCAACACATTTTACTCTAAGTATTTTTAATTGAGAAATAATCTATGGTTTGCTGAATACAATCTTTAATCAAACCCCTTTGAAAAGTGCATTTTTATTTTTCAGTTTTGAGCAACTCTGTTTTGAAAATGGCAGACTGACCTTAAATAGTAAATTCTCCAAAAGTGCTCCCATAAGAAATAACTTGTTTTCAACACATTTTACTCTAAGTATTTTTAATTGAGAAATAATCTATGGTTTGCTGAATACAATCTTTAATCAAACCCCTTTGAAAAGTGCATTTTTATTTTTCAGTTTTGAGCAACTCTGTTTTGAAAATGGCAGACTGACCTTAAATAGTATAAATTCTCCAAGTGCTCCCCAAAGAAATAACTTCTAGGATACAGATATGTCATACAGTTCACACAGTATATTCAAGGTACTTCTGTAGGCTGGGTTCAGATCCTTCCCATAATGGCTGAAAAGTTATTAGATGAGAGATGTTTTGTGAAATGAACTTGAAGTCCATTTTTAATAGGTGTGTGTTTCCCCAAAAACTCTGTCACTGCCCTTCATGCCAGTTCACTTTTCTGTTGACTTTTTCAACAGAAAGATCAAATATTGGACTGACTATAAAGGCTGTGTTTCTTGTTTCAGTGGACCCACTCAGGGCAGGCTTGAGACCGAATACAAGAGCAGTTTGTTCTGCTTCTGCCTATCTTGGCTCTAGTTTTTGGGCAAGTTGTGATAGTATAACCTCATCTCACTGTTTCTTCTGTTTGAATCTCTTCCTTGAAGCTGTTTTTATGTGATGATTGGAAAAAGAAATTGCTTTGAGGGCCTGAAAATGTGCACTGTAAGTTTCATAGGAATTAGTATAACTGAAATAGGTGTTACTGTTAATGATATAACAGCTATTGACCTGTATGGCTGGTGAACACCATATAAACCTGGAAGCCCCTTACTGCTGTTTCTGTTGTAGAGGCATTTTCTATTGGCCAGACCTAATGCTGGCAGCACCCCAGGCTCTGCTGTTGAACTGACCTCTAGCGTTTTGCAAATCGCTCAGAACTGTTTCCAAACCGTAATGTCTAAAATAGATTGGTACTAATATATACAACGGAGTGTGCGGTCAGAAAGTGATATGCAGGATTTACTCTCATTCTGTAAAAAACATTTTGGAAGGTAAAAGTCTCCACAATAGAAGAGCCTCTGTGGCAGGCATCATGAGGAAGCCTGGTCCTACGATATACTCAGAGGACCATTGATTTCAGTGAAAGCTAAAGATACTCCATCATTCTGAAAAGAGTAAGCTGCTTGTTAGGGTAACTAGATATGGATAGGAGTGCCAAATTTCACATAGGCATTTGGAAACGTCCTAAGTGACTTGCCTAAGGTCACACAATAAGCCAGTGGCAAGAGCAGAAAATAGAACCCAGGCAAGTTGCTTCCCAAGTGGTTAGTCTACTAAATAACATTATTTATAATCTGCTAGAGCTAAGAAACTGAATCATGATTCAGGGCTTCAGGATTCATGGATTGTACAAGGTAAGAAGTAAAGAAAACGATCCCTTTCCTAGAGCAAGCCTACTCCAGATGCTGAAACAAATGTAGGCAAGTAAACAAAACAAGGCAGAGATGGTTTAAAGATAAGGTAGCAACATGACTAACAGAATTTAGCAGAAAAAGCAGAGTATATTCTTGCAGTTCACTACTTGCATCATGAAATGCCAGATGGTAGGTTTCAAAGAGGGATTTTAGAGAAGTAGCGATTCAACAGATTTTGACATGGAGCTTTTCCCATGTGTGGGGGATGGCCTGGTAGAAAGGAAGGAGATGCCTGATGAAGAAGCAGACACAGAGCCATTGAGGTTGCTGTCACTGCCAAAGTGAAGGTGGAGGTTGACAGCTTGATAAACTAGTAGATGTGATAGGTAGAGGGAAGCTAAACAGTGAAAGACGAAGTGCTTGAAATGTGACAATAGAGTTTGATGTGGGGAAAAGGAGTTACCATGCATGAGAGTTAAAGGCAAGGGTGATGCAGCTGGAGTGATGAGGATGTTGCTAGTGAGCATCATCTAGCATAAAGACTAGAGAAAGCTGATTTACAGCACTGTTGGCACAAACCCCTCATCAGTCTGAAGAAGCAACAAAGATAAAAGCAATAACAAATATTGATAGTCTAGGAGCACAAGAGAAGTTGTACTGGATCAGAACAAAGATCCGTGGTGCTCAGTAACCTGTCTGCTGTTGGCTGCTGTCACAGATGCCCTGGGAGGAGTGTAAGAAGAGTCTGAGCATAAAATGATGCCACCCCTTAAAATTATCTTCTGAACTTCCACTGTCTGCAGTTCAGGCAGGGTCTAGCCTGAGGTGGAAGTGGTTTCTGTGTGCTTAGTGCCTTTCAAGAGACTTCTCTTCCATGAACTTGTCCAGTTTAAATAGGAATGCCTCGAGATCAGCTTTCTCCATCTTTGGAAATTCAGATTGACCCTTTCCTGTATAGATACTAGTCCCAGCTATTGCTGTGAGTACCCAGAGGGTATAAGCCCTTATTAAAGAGATCGTGTTCAATTGTGGAGCTAAATGTCAGTGCTGTCACTTGTTTCACGCTGTCCATTCTTTTATGCAAATCGTCAATATTCATATGCTTTATTAATGACTCTTGTTGCTCAGAAATGGGATTGTTTCATTTCATTCTTGTTCTTAGCATTCTCATAATACTAAGAGTTTGCAGTATGTGATACCCACCATTAACGTGTTCCCTACAAACAAAAAGCACTCCAGCGAAAGCGTTGCGGTTTTGCAGACACAGATGGCATTACCAGACACAAATGTGTGTGTCTTGGCTCCTGCACGTCAAGTTCCGTGCTGGGAGTGAAGTTAGAAAACGCTCCATCTGCTGCGCTGCTTCGGTTACCAGGAGCACTACGCGCGCTGGAGACCGCCCTGGCTTTCACTTGGACTTGCACCATTAACTTTTTAAAAAAATTCTGGGTAATGAGGTTGTTTTTCTGTCTGTAAGTAAATGACTACTTACCTAATAGGAGTCTTAGAGGACTGAATTAAGTGGGGAAAAGGTTTATGTCAAAAATATGTAAAACTTTCCAAGTACTACCTCTTAAGCAGTAAGACAACAGGAGAAATTAAGGGGATGGCTAGCTGAGATTGTAGTGTGACAAACTTCAAACTGATGTAAGTTGGCATTGCCCCTGAAAAAACAGTCCCATGCCCACATTGTCCCATCCTCATCGCTAGAACATGCCGTTGTGCAGCTGCAGAGTAAACTGGACTGGGGACTGGTCTGGCTGAAAACCGACTCGGAAATGAAGAAGAAAAATTGGTTACTTTTCAGGCCATCCAAACCACCACATGGCTGCATAAATGCTTGCGCCAACTGAACGGCAGTGCAGAAGCGTGGAAAAAAAACACAGCAGTGGGATCATTGACAAACCTCTTCTGCAGTTCACGCAAGGTGCAGGGCTACGAGGCACCAGGTGAGCAGAGCGAGCAGCTCATCGCTACCGAGGAAGCCTGCTCCTGCCTCCCTTCTTTCACATCCTTGGGTGCAAGTTCCTGGAAAGGGCCTCACAAACACAGGAGCCTGATTGAGGGAGGGCAGCATGCTGTGTAACCAGGAGCCAGGGCGGGAGGAAAAGGCAGTGCTGTTGTAACATCAGCTTTTAGGGGCAGAAGCCTCTTGTATTGCCTCAGATGTCTGTGGTACTGCAAATCCTAAGGGTGGGAAACTGTGACAAAAGGAAACTGAACTGTGCTCAGAACTGCTTCCTTTCATCAAGGTGCACCATAACCATTTTCAGGTAGCTCAAAACAAGCTCAGATTTAGTTCTCTGTTTAAATTCAACCAGGACTGAAGCAATCTGGATACAGCTGAGCCTGAACCAAACCAAAAAAATGTACTAATTTGATTTCTCGTTTATCAAAACAGATTGCCCCGCTGAAATTATTATCCTTTCTGTTTATTAGGTTTTGTGTTCGTAGCCTTGCAAGATTATTTGCAAAGCAGTGGCAGTGAAATAGCAAGTGTGCCAGGACATGATGGCTATAGAAATAGTAACAGGCACTTCTAACAACTCGATAAAGTTTGTGCTATGGAACAAAAGAAAATGAAAGCCTCAGTCACTACAACACCCTTCTTGCCTTCAAAATTCTTCCTATTACTTAAAATATCTAAGCACTGCTATAATAGGTCTTTATATCGCTGCTACTCTTCAATTAAGGATGGGGTATCTTCTGTGAAACATCTACCTGTTCACAAAAGGATGCTGCTCTGTTACCATGTACTCAGTCAGCCCTATTTTCCCTCTCCTAGGCTGTTACTCAGCCATCCATTCCTTTCTATTCATTCCTTTACTAAGTAGGGATGGATTTAAACAGATGCTAAAATGCTCTGCTGAGCTGTGGTCTAATTAGAAGCTGAGGGTGTGCCTCTGGAGACAGAGATTTCCCTTTGAATTGAGGGAGCTCGCAGGTCCCGCAACGCAACCTGGCGCTGTTTTATGCATGTGAGATACTCATATGCGCTTTGTATGTCATTTGTGAATTGCTTTTGATACAAAACTGCTCTATAAATATAATTAAGTACAAGAAAATTAGACCAATAAGCACAAGTTCTCATTAAAACTTTCCAAGCTAGCAAAGTAAATAAAATCTCATGTCTTCAAGTCAGTGTGTGAGTCTCAAATTCTCCTTTGTGTAGAGCTTGG